CCCCCCGGTTCCCCCTCAGCCATCTTTGGCAAAGTACGAAGGAACGCTTGGCCATCGGTGATCAGTCTTGAGGGAACAATGCTCCGTCGTCCTCTCGAAGGCGGCGTGGTCAATGGTGTAGCAACTACGGCATCGAAAACATGAGCACGCCCCCCCTCCCCCCTTTCCTCGATCGACAACCACGACAACACAGGTTGAGCACATGATTGGGCTGGGTAACCTTCCCGCCGCGGCGGCGCTGATGGACCACTTCGGCTTGCACGGAGCCTTGCCAGCGTTGGATCCCGCGCTCATCGAGGCCTCCGCGAGGGAGAGAGCGGCGGTGCACCTGCAGCTCCCGATCAGCAGCTCGAGGGTGAGTCGACCATGGTCTTGCTGTTGTTGCTGCTACTGCCGCTGCTGTTGCTGTTGTTGTTGTCGTCGTCGTCGTCGTCGTCGTCGTCGTTGTTGCCGCGGTTGCCGCTGCTGCTGTTGTTTTTGCCTGCTGTCGTGATGTTGTGCTTGCCGGTGTTGGCAATGGCAGCGAAGCCTTCGTGGTGGCGGTGAAAGCATCGGGAAAATACTAGAGCCCCGTGTCAACGAGTCAAGGGCGATAATTGTAATGTGGAACAATTGTATTTGTAGTATGGAATGATGGTACGTGTAATTTGGAGTAATGGTAGACTAATATGCAACAATGGTAATATGGAATAATTGTAGCATGGAAAAAGAGCTATTTAGAGGAATGACACGCACGACCGCGCGCACACACGCGAGCACACGGGGGTCTGCAGTCTGCATGGGCTTCGAGACTTGAATTGTTCTTGAGAAGTTCCGAACAAATTTTAGCTTTGTCGCTGTAATCCATCATCCATGTAAGGCACCGGAGGTGTTGCACAGTTCGAGAGAAGGGTGCAAGGCAAGATTTCTCGAGAGCTTCCATGTCGGAACCCTGCCAGGCCGAGCTAGGCTGGCGATGGAACCGTTCATCTTATTTTTCCAGCAGCAGTGCTTCTCCGTTGGTGCTCGCATGAACCCACGGCGGGCCTATCAAAAATGGTCTTCGTTTCTCCACACATCAGCCTGGATCGTCTCGGGTTTCCTGAAACACCCCGCTGCTCCGTGAGGCGCCCAGAACTCAAGATTGAGATTGAGCTGACCTTGCTTGCCTCTGCTGCTTTTGGGGACTCTTGGTTCAACTTCAGGTGCTCGTAGTGGAAGGGTGGAAGACGCTCCAGTACGCCCAACAGGTTTTGATAGAGCCGGCGGCGGTGGGGGGAAAGGGTACCGTGCCGGGGGTGCGATGCGTAGGGTTAGACGTGGAGAACTCTCCGACAACGAACAGGGCGACGCTGCTTCAGGTGCGATGGTGGTGGTGGAAGGGTGCACCGCCGCGCCGCGCATTGCTGTTGTTGTTGTTGTTGTTGTTGTTGTTGTTGTTGTTGTTGTTGTCGTTGTAGTTGTTGTTGTCGGTCGTTTTTTGGTAGTTGTTGTTTTCAGGAAACGAGTTTGCTCTTCGTCTTTACATCAGAAACTCGTTTTAACCTGTACTTTGCCAGTGGTATTTGCACGTTCTTTCCCGCACCCGTGCAGGCAAAAGATTGACGACAGTTCCTCCTCCGCGAAGCCCATCCAACAGAACCATCAAACTCATTCTGTACCCATCTTCTTTGCATCCCAGTGCTTTGGTTTTGTGTTTGTCTGTGTCCGCCCGTCGGTTCAATCGTAGGCCTCCAACACCAGCACCAACTTAGTCATCTTGCACCCACGATGCTGATCGCTCCGGCCGCCCAGCGTTAAGAACAGTCTCGTTGTTCCTTCCGGCTGTAGGAGTGATGCTACGGCAAGGGGGTGAACTTTGCGTGGTGAAATCTTACCACGCTCTTGGGAGAAAGCAATCTTCGGTGATCTTACGGCGAATTAGCAAGCGGCCATTAGGTTCGCGCAGAAATGTGACACCCCCCCCTGACGTAGCATCACCCCCCCTCTCAATGGTCCGTCCTCTCGAGGACGCGTGGTCAATGGTCTGTACCCGTTAAGGCATGCAAATCATGAAGAGTACCCCCCCCCCCCC